GGTGGGTACCGGCGGGCCCTGTGAGTTCGTCACTGCTGGCCCCAGGGGTTGCTGTATGTGGTCGCTGGTGGGGCTCTTCCAGTTCTCTCCAGTGGTCCTCTTTAGGGGGTGGGTGGGCGGCTCATTTAGCGTCTTCAGTTTGGAGAAGTTTAATTCTGACAAGACTGACAAGCTAACAGGTTTAAGTCTGAATGCAGCTTAAACCAAAAAAGGCGGTCGTCTTAAAACAACTCAAATCACAAAATGCATTCTATATTTAAATGCTGCTGGTGGTGGGCCAGCATTCTTTTGAGCCAAGGTAACTATATTTATGGGCCAATTAAAAAAAATAGACAGACAATTCAAACATTTTCTGCTATTGTTCTGGCACAGTCACATCTTAGTCCATCTTTTCCCATCTCTAAAGCTACGTATATTTATTTATTTATTTTTCACAATATTACCACAATTTATGAGGTGAATGGCGACATGTGTTTTCAGAGAATACATGGCACTGATATAAGCATCAAATATAAACACAAACACCGCTTCTTCAGGTCCACACACCATCAGCGGAACCCTGAATGACACTTAAAAGCATGACTATAACCAAGCCTTTACCCCCCCCCACCCCCACACACACACTCATCCTGAGTTTTTCTGTTTACTTTAGACATCCACATTTGCGAAAAGATCTATGTTGGTCTTTTGACTTGTCCAGGGTGTACCCCATCTCTTGCACAGTACCTGTTGGATTTAGGCAACAGTGACCCTGTGACTCAGAAAAAGGGGGGAGGATAATAGATGGATGAAGCAGATACACACTGTAAGGTGAGGATAGTTGATGTAGAAAGGATTAATGTTAAAAGAATAAGGAGACTGTGGATTCAAGCCTGCTGCAAAAATGTTTGAAATGGATCTGATGCTAATTCATCATCATACATTCATAAGACAATTTAAGAAGTATAGAAATATGATTTTCAAAAGATATAGAGATGCTCAGTGTGTCTGATTTTGTGTGTATATATATGTGTATATATATGTATACATATAATATTGTTTCTTTTTTTGATTTGTGGTTGCTTTGTTTTTGCAATATATGGTACATTTGGGACTGCGTATATATGTTGTATGTATTCGTTCATGTGTGTATGCGTATGTGCTGCATATGTGCAAACATACATTTGCATATGCTGCAAATGTATGTTTATCTTTATAAATATTTTCTGTACTATATAATTTAGTAGGTAAACAGATTGTTGTTTAAATCTTCATGAAATTGTGATTTTGAATAAGAAAAAAACAAGAATTAATTATTAATATTTTTTAATAAGCCATGAAGAAGGGTGGGATTAAATAAGTTTTTTTTTACTTCTTCCCATTCCTTTTCAACTATGTTAATTTCATTATTATCATTTTTTTATCATTGTTTTATTTTGTTTTCCATGTTTGAAATAAATTCTTAATAAAAAAAATACAGCAGGACATGAATTGCAGATGAAACTATTAGCCTACATCACAGAGCATGTCTAACAATACACAGTTATGAACATCAATAAACAAAAAACAAGTTTACTGTGAAATCCTCGTGTTTTTTTAGCATCAGTGTTCATAAGTATTAGTTTACTTTATGTTATTATATTTAATGACATCATAAAATTCATCGTTGCCATCATAGTATTTATTAAAATTGTACAAAATAAATGATGTTTTAATATATTTGAGTCAGGGATTAAAACACAGCTCAATAATTTCTACACTATTTCTCAGTTTGTCCTCACCAAACAGGTTGTTGGAACAGTCATGGAGTGGCAGAAGTCAATTGTTTGACAATTGAATTATTTTAAAAATGCAGTCATAATAAAATTTTAGGCAAAAATAGTGTGGTGAATTATTACCTTCTCCTTCATCCATGCTATTCGTTTTTTTTTTTTTTTTTGAGTGCTCAGATGGCCTTGCAGCCTTTCCCTTCAGTAATTATACAAAATATTCAGTTACTTCTCTGCTTAGTTTTTGTTGCGAAATAACCCTCTAGCTGTTGGGTTCAAATGACCCACAAGGCTTCAGTGTTAATCCTGAAGCCTTGTGGGTCATTTTGACCAAAGGGCAGCAGGAGGGTCAAAGGTCTTTTAAAGTCCCAGAATGAAATTACATGACAACTCTTGTGTTTTTTCCTAGAATAAATATTTACCAATGTTTACCAAATCAATGAACAATTTATCTAACCTGTCATTATTCATCTTTTGTTTATCTCTTATAATGGATTTGCTGCTAGATTCAGGAGCCCATATGCTGCCTTTTTACACTAGAATAATGTAAATACGGAATAGGCATGATACAGTTCTTATTTGCTTTGTCTTTGAAATATACAATTTGGCTTTGTTGTCACAAAGGGAGCAGCAAAATATACATGAATATTAAACAGGACCATCTGCAGGAAGTGTGTCTGACCGATTGTGGCGGGCCAGCTGGGCCAAAAATGCCCAGGATAATTTTTTGTCCTTGTCTCGCCTTGCCTCCAATAGTCCAGAACTGAAAAGCTATGACCTTTATATTGCAGACATGCCTCTAAAACTGTACCTTCTGGTTGCTGTGTGTGTCATATTCTTCCTTCTAAGGTCACATGTACAACTGATTTGTAAGATAAAACACCTTGTTCTTGTTGCTTGCCAAACACTGACAGGCATTTTTCCGCTGCCATGCACACTGTCATCATGCAAACAAGGCACACCTGAAAAGGAGAGCTCGCTCTGTTTGGCACTCATGCCATCTGAATAAAGGTTGAATGAGTGAACATCCTGTAGCTCCATATTCATTACTCCCCGTGAGAAATATGGTGTGCCTTGTCAGCACTTTCCCCCAGCCGGTTGCCCCCAGCGTGTCGACGTCTGCGTTGTTGTTGTTGTTGTTGTATGCGTGGAGCAGATATAAATGGAGCGTTGCTGAGGCTCTGTAAATATTTGGAGCTGCTGTCGCACCATTTGTTTAAAGCCGACATCTGTGGGCTGTAGGGCGCAATAAGGGGGAGGAGTGCAGTTTAGGTGAGGTGAGGTTTTAGAGTGCTTTTGTTACATACTGCATATAATGCAGACATTTTAATACTGGTGTGATGGCCGAATGCATGGCCACACTCCATTAAAGTCGGTAACTCTCATGCACATTCATTAAATTTTATTTATTCATTCAAACACATTAAACAATAGAATGTCATTTGTTGATTTTAAATACATTTGTTCTATTTGTATGCGTGTACATATAGTTTGCTTGTGTATTTTTTATCAACTCATTCTTTGTTTGGTTGTGTTTTTGAATAATTCTTGTTTCTTTTACTGGTTTCTCATCTGCTGGGATCTCTGGGAGTTACCAGACAAAACATGGTGGCCAGGGCTTGATATTCTTAACTGCTAGAGGTGGATAATTGGACTGCACCACCAGTTCCTGCTGAAGAGGGGGACCTTGTATTTTCTTTGTTTAAACAAGCTTTTGTATTTGAGTATTTACTGAGTTTAATGTATGATTTTCTTCTTTAGAATTTAGTTTATTAGCAAACTGAACTGTACTGTGTATTTTTGTTGTGATTAGTGATTGTTTTGTGTTGTGTTAGCCCTCATGTGTTGCAATGGTCTGATCTGCCAGAGTGTATATAAACCCTTGTGTGTCATGTGTCAGAAGGTCAGTTATGTTGTGTTATGCAGTCAGTTTGGTCACATTTTTTGCCTGAGTTCATTTTGTTATGTTTGCCTCTTTTATGAGCTCAGTTTGTGTTTTTTTTTAAGTTTACTTTTTTTGGGTTAAAAATAAAAACCCTATTTTTCTAATAATTCCTGTGACTCCTCCTGTTTCAACTCGGCCCATCACAACTGGAAATGTACTCAGTCTGTCAATCAAGGTTTATGATTGCATCTCTGTACAGATGTGATTCCAGATGTGTCATGTGGGCACAAAAGAAAACAACTGATGTATACAAAGGCACAGAGAAATTTGTTGATTCCCCTACAGTTTAGTGAAATAATTCTTGTGAAGTGATTCAGCTGAAAACAT